ACGAGGGGAGTTCTGCTCTTGGTGAGGTCACAAACCAGAGATAGAGAGGCGCTAACGTCACCCACTCGTGACTTTGAGGTGACGTCTCCAGAGGGGGCGTTTACATATTTCAGCAAACATGTGGTAAGCAGTGGGATATCGATGGACGCGGTTATTAAGGTTTTATTTAAACCGAATTAAAAATTCAATAAAACCGAATAGAAATCGGCACCAAAAATCCATGATGCATTTCAAATGTGCTCTTAAAATTACCTCCTTGCTATGAAACGGATCAGCAGACACGACGTCTCTTTCATTTATCGGTCTCTTCACGAAACAAAGAAAAATTTTAAACAAACTATAAATAGCACAGCCTTCTGGGAGTGCATCATTGATTCAGTGCAAGCCACCTGTGGACCGGTATTGGTGGACAGTGTCTCAACAGCAGTCAGGCTGGCTTCAACCGATAGTAACGAACATCCAGATGTTAATCAGCAAGGAGCATTTCTCGTCCTAGTTCGACAAAATCTAAAATACACGTAATACAAAATTTTAATTCGTGTTGTAGAGAATGTATCCCCTATACGTAACTTGTAAGTGGTATGCCTTGTAACTGATGAATGATGCTAATGTTCTTTATTTCAAAGACAATGTTCCAGAGGCAGATGCTTCCTGAATCACGAAAAATACCCCTCGACCCGTATCACAAGGATAGCTCTCACATGAGTTATCTGTACAGGTTACTTCCAAAACACACACTTTCTCCGAACAATCATGTGTTCCGGTTTGCTGTACTTGTGACAAATTAGCATGTTCTGTTTACGTGACAACCCTTACTTGTTGGCCGTGTCGGATGGTGGCGGGTTTTCACGACACATTTATATATTTACGCGATCTAACTCAAAAAAACTATATTATGGATTCCATGTTTGACCCTGATAGACAAAATGTTACATGTACGCACAAAATCAGACAATTATTAATTAAATTATAAATCTAAATTATCGATAGGCATATTGCCAAAATGTAATTACTGCACTGAAATGTACTTCATCATATTATATCGTATTTACAAGTTGATCTGTCGAATGAGGCCGACACCTGCAGCATTCAGATTGAGTGCATTCTATTTTAGTTGCAGAAGTTCAAGGTTCAAATCCGACAGGCATCCCTGGTTCGTCCAGGAACATTAATTACAAATATGCATCGTCTGCTTAACAGTTGATTGTAAAAAATACTATTGTCATTCAAAACGAGTAGGCAATTGCATGCTGGCATCGTGGTTAAAATTTGGCAAATTCGAAACATTACTCACAAATTACACAACTGAGATTATGCAACAATCATCGCCCTCTACTGACAGACTCATGCCCACATGCGGGCTGGTGCAGGGCCACCTTATGCCACACAGAGGCAGCTGCCACTTGGGGTGCTTGTTTAATATCGTGTAATGAAAAAAAGTAAATAAATAACATGTAATTGTATTAAATTATGCTAATTTATGATACAGTATTGACATTTATGCAAAGTAGGCTCGGCTTCATTACCTAGGGGTGTATTACCAATCGTGATAATACAATGAAAAGTGACATTTTCTAACATAACGCAAATATCTGGAATTATGTAAATGTATGCCACTATGCAAATGACTCAGCTTCGTTGTCGAGGATGTATTACCAATCGTGATAATACAATAAAAAGTGTAATTTCTTAAAATTATGCAAATTATGGAATATCAATGTATGCAATGGCGAAGGTTGTATTGCCAATTGTGATAATCCAACGATTCTCGTTTTAACTTTTACTGATTCTGTTTTAGTGTAATTCTGTCAGGTCTCAGAATTCAGATCTCACTGCAGAATACAGCTCTTATAATTAAGGTTATTACGCATGAACCTAGAAAGGAACCACTCAGATTATTCTATGTTAAGCAACTTTAATATCTAAAAACACTCTAATATGCAAATACACTTACGATCAGAATTGTCAACACCGTACTCCTGAAGATGTCCTACTCCTTGAGCCATACAATTAACCCTCAATGGTTACCTTTGTTAAAACTGAGTAACAGAACAATCGGCTAACTCTTCAGAGTAGCGCAACCATACACGGCGATAGGAAAAGTCCTTCAAAATATATATTCATACGAAACATGCTAAAGAAATATGTGCCCAATGGAAAAAAAGTAGACATCAATGAATTCATTAAGATTATGCAATTAACGAAATGTCCTGAAGCAATAGTGTGCATGCTCGTGTGCCTGTTTGGCTAACAGATGCTTATCAATTGGCTAATGGGACATCAATGAATTTGCGGGCAAGATTCTGTGATCAAAAGAAACATCTCAACACAATAGTATTCCTGTGTGTAGATTCGTAACATAGATGCTTATAAATGTTTATCGTGTCATCAATGAATTGCAAAATACTTTTAAACGACTGTATTAATGGACCTCAATGTACAGAACAATGCTTTTCATGATCACCTAATAGTTAACGCACCACCTTGGGATGGCAACCCTTTTCGAAACCAAGATAACTTTTTGAAACAATCTTAGTAGCAATATGCACGTTGTGTGTGGGTGTGTGTTGTCTTCTTGCTAACTGTTAAGTTGGCAGCTTCCGAGGTGCAGTGTTCCTTGTACAGAAAACACCACAGGTCTGCAGCAGGGGCGCTGGGTTGGCGTGTCGAACACGGCGCTCTCGGCTGCTTGGTCAGTCTCTCTCCACCGCTGCGGTAGTTGCCGAGTCGGCACGCTGGTCACGCTGTCGGTGGTGCCCATGCGAGCAGGGATGATGGGTCCGGCTCCGTCTGCGTCGATGTGCGCGATCATCCCGTCGCCAGACACCGCTCGCAGCTCGTCCACTAGTTGCCACGCGTAACCCCCTTGGCACCAGACACTGTTGATCCTTGTAGACTGTGGAGCGACTTGGAGAGACAGCGCATGTCGTCTCACCCCCCCCCCCCCACCTCTACAAGAGACCTCTTCCAGTTGTCTGTACGACTCGTGCTGCACAAAGGACATGCTACAGATCAAGTTATATCGTTCCGTGTCAGTCTCTGATCCGACCCTCAACTAAACATCGCCTATGGGTTGCAATTTAAAGGGGCACTCTCCAGAATAGTGGTTGCACCAGTTTTCCATCGAAGGGTTGACTTTGATCGGAGCACAATCAGAACGATTGTCACTCTATGATCGTACGTGTTAGCTATACACAGCGACCTCGCCACCGGGAATAGTAATGCTACGGCACTCTTCCCCACGTTTGTATTGTAATACTGAGAGCACCAGCCTTGGCTGGCAGCCTTGGCTGGCAGCCTTGGCTGGCAGCCTGTCAATGATGCAGAAAGAAACCTCTCCGTGATGCGTGGCTTCTGCTGATGCAGAGCACCCTATTAATTTTCTAGTCACGAGGGCAATCCCTGGAGCCTGCCACTCGCAGTACTTCGTTTTTCGTATGGCATTGTGAAAAGCAAAAGTTTTATTTTTAATGATCGTCATAAATGAATGCAAAGGTTCCTCATCAAGTCCAATGATGTGGTTGACGCAGTGTGGATTTCAGCGATACCGCCAGGATGGAGCATTCATAGGTGATGTGCTTGATGGTTTGGACTTCTACACAGTCGCAGTTGGGTGATTCTTTGAGCAGTACTGATTTCTGTTCTTGCTTATATCTGAATTTTTTATACCTCGGGCTCTTATCTCACAAAGGGACAGCTGTTTTCCTTTTGAAGTCACTTTGGCTGTTTGTTGTCCAGATGTCTTTATTACTGCCATGTTTCTGTTCACGTTTTGGGCAGCGTTCCCCACACTCCCACCCTGGGTTGGAAGTATTACATTTTTTTCACATCAGACTTGCAGTTTCTCTCAAAAAGGCGCGCTGTGGCCTTTGAAGTCGTGGCCTATTGTGTACGGGTGTGCTTGCTGTCGCCATGTATTCCGTCCTCTCATCTTATAGCTTGGTACCGTACCATTCCACAGTTTTTACTCTGCGACTCAAAGTGCGTTTTGAGCAGAGTTCACAGCACTCACGTCGCAGTTTAGAATTCTTGCATGGTATTGATATATTAGGGGGAGGCGCCCCCCTGCATACATAATTTACTACTACCATGTGCTGTTAGCTACTGGAAGACAAAGGCGGTTGTTGAGACTCTGATCCCGTGGAATACATATTATCTTGTTCGTGTGAGATTGACATATTTCACATTGTACCTCTGCTGAATGACCCTAGGTCTAACACTTTCATAATTATTACTTGGTTCATGCTTAACCAAGATTTGTGGTATACCAAAGTTGTTACCAAGGATATTCCGAGGGTTTTATTAACCTTTGCTCCCTGTCTGTATCGCCAGGGATCCGTGCTTCTTATTCTCTAAGCTTTGAACTTTACTGTTGTACTGATTAACTGCCAATGGGTGGATTTTGCTATCCAAGGGAGGTTCTCGTGACCCCTGCTGTTTCCGTCTTGTTTTATTGTGGGTTGTTTCCTTAATGGCAGCCTTCTCTTGAAGTCAACTGGGGATTTCCTGCAGAATCTCATTAGCCCCCCCCCCCCCACTTGGGTTTGCCATTTTATTTATTTATTACATTTTACAACTTCCCAACCAGGCTTGTGAGTAATTATCCTCCAGCTGTCTTTTGTGTGACAAGGCAGGAGGCGGGGGGGCTCACCCTTCTCGTGCCCCAGCGCTCCATCCCGATCAAAATTATAAAAAAGGCAAATCACTCATAAGATACATTTTTGGAAAAGGCATATATACATTTTCGAGTGTTTGTGATGAGATATGATACAAAACTCGGAGTTGCTGAGGCAATTAAGCAAGCACCATATGAATGCTAATATTATTATAACATAGTGAATGCTTGGGAGCTTATTGACTCTCGCTGCTAGTTAGAGATCTCCCCAACCCACAGGTCCGCAAATACTGGCTGATCTTACTGATTAAAGGCCTGTGACAAAGGTGAATCTATTGGAGCTTCATTGTCTCAAGCTTACACATCTACAGGGTCTCCATTTCACTTTGTATTGTCTAAGAAGTCCACCCATACCTCCACTTCCACAAACTGCTGGGAGTTGCCTCGCTCTGCCTCACAGTCAGAATTCTCCTCCTGCTTCACGTTACCTCCATCGATGTGAAGGTCCGATTTTGGAGTTGAATCTTCATCTTCACATTTCACCTTCACTTCTTCGCTCTTCACTGTCACCTCTTCAAATTTTACCTTGATACATTTTATAGTGTCCAAGCTGGAATTCACTTCTGGTTCTTTTTTCAGGAGGGATGGGCTCATTGCAGCACTTTGACTTTCACAAGTCGATTTCAGACTACACTCCCTGGGGATCTTCTGATGCCTGTGTGTCCTCTGGTGTCTATGAAGCTGTGGTGACTGTGCAAACGCCTTCCCGCATAGAGTGCACTTGAATGGTTTATCTCCTGTGTGTAGTATCTGGTGTCTTTTAAGATCAGATGAACTTGAAAATGCCTTCCCACACACACTGCACTTGAAGGGTTTCTCTCCTGTGTGCATTCTCTGGTGTTTTTTAAGATGTGATGACTCTGTAAATGCCTTCTCACACATAGTGCACCTGAAGGGTTTCTCTCCTGTGTGTGTTCTCCGGTGTCTCTGAAGAACTGATGACTTTGCAAATGCCTTCTCACACACACTGCACTTGAAGAGTTTCTCTCCCGTGTGTGTTCTCTTGTGTTTTTGAAGATCTGATGAATTTGCAAACACTTTATTGCACAAAAGGCACCTGAAGGATTTATCTCCCGTGTGCGTTCTCTGGTGTCGTTTAAGAGGAGATGAACCTGAAAATACCTTCCCACACAAACTGCACTTGAAGGGTTTCTCTCCTGTGTGTGTTCTATGGTGTTTTTTAAGATTTGATAACTGTGCAAATGCCTTCTCACACACACTGCACTTGAAGGGTTTTTCTCCTGTGTGTGTTCTTTGGTGTTTTGAAAGATCTGATGACCATGCAAATGTCTTCTCACAGGCAGTGCACTTAAAAGGTTTCTCTCCTGTATGCCTTCTCTGGTGTTCTGTAAGATGTGATGACACTGCAAAGGGCTTCCCGCACAGAGTGCACCTGAAGGGTTTCTCTCCCGTGTGTGTTCTCTGGTGGCTCTGAAGAAGTGATGACTGTGCAAATGCCTTCTCACACACACTGCACTTGAAGGGTTTCTCTCCTGTGTGTGTTCTTTGGTGTTTTTGAAGATCTGATGAATTTGCAAATGCTTTATTGCACAAAGTGCACCTGAAGGGTTTCTCTCCTGTGTGTGTTCTCTGGTGTCTCTGAAGAACTGATGACTTTGCAAATGCCTTCTCACACACAGTGCACTTGAAGGGGTTCTCTCCTATGTGATTTCTCTGGTGCCTTGTTACATTTCCAGTACGATCCGTGCTGTTTGCATACTGGTCGCATTGTTGTCTTCTTGTACCGAGCTGCGCCGAGTGCCTTTGCTCCATCAGACCAATTCTGCAGAGGAAGAGTCAGAAGAAGCGTCAGCTGCAGACATTAAAAAATATCCACACAATATACGTCAGTATCGAGGCACAGAGGAATGAATATATATACACAGTCACGCATTAATTACACGTCTATACTTATTCAGAAATTCAAGACTCGCGGGAAGTACCCGGCATTGCCCGGAGGAAAAGTATATTTAAAAACTTCCCAAAACTTAAACCATAACATATACAAACGCTCACCAGATATCGATTCTCACCAGTCCTGTATGCGGGTCGACACCACACACTTCATGGTCATTCCCCCCCCCCCCCCCCCCCCCCAAAATATAGAAGTAAATTTTTATAATTTTTGCATTGTGTACTGTCTGAAAACTACCCACATGCCAAATTTCAAGTTTGTTGCATGTTGGGAAGTAAGCTAAATATGTCAAACAGACACACATATTCACAAATTTCCCTTTTATATATATTCCCCAATTCATCGCAAGGGCTGTTAAGGGACACAATGAGAGGGCAAATGGTTATAAATATGCCTGGAGGCCTTAGTAACTTCCAAAATAAATGTTAACCCAAAACACCAAGCACACAATTTTGGCTGTCTGGCTACAAAAGGAATACAGTGGAACCTTGGTATACGACCGCTTTGGAATACGTCGAATTTGGTATACGTCGTGTTTTTTCGGGGGAAAAATGTCTTGGGATACGACGTCTTGCTTGGGATACGACGCGTTTGCTAAAACTTGTATGGGTCGGGATGAGTCACCGCGTACAGTACCCGCGTATGCCCGTTCACGACTGAAACAAAGCGAGAGGGGCGGGGTGGCATGGGGGAGAGGGGTGGGGGATGTGGGGGAGAGGGGCGTGGGGGGCTGCCCCAATGGAGGGTGGAGCCCCAGGTCGAGGCGCGCGCGACTTGCGGGGTTGAGCCACGCCACGTGACCAGCGCAGCTGGCAGCAGCGCGGTCACGTGGCTTCTGTATGCATTTTAGTAATTGGTGTCTAAATTATTTTATACAACCCGATTAATGTATAATATGCCATGTAAAATATGTATTTTCCTCTGGAACAGATTATTTCCTTTCCCTTTATTTCTTATGGGAAAAATTTGTTTGGTATACGTCATTTTCGGTATAAATCCTACCTTCTGGAACGAATTAACGACGTATACCGAGGTTCTACTGTATATATAAAAGCAAAATTCAGCTAACATATAGCAAGGGTGTAGAAAATTATACTATTTGTACTCTTTGGTTCTTTCGCTAAAGTCATGGAGGTGGAAAAAAGAATAGATCACGACGTTTCGATCACAACACAAGCAATCGTCATCAGGTGGGACAACCACAGTAAGAAAAAAAACTGCTGAAGTAGGCGAGAGATCTGCCGTGGCACGAGGTTATATAGACCTCAGCAGTAGGGGTGGAGAGAGGGGGGGGGGGCAGAAAGACCCCGCAGTAGCACCCAGGTCAGTGGAGTAAAGTGGGCCACCACAGCAGCACTGGAGGGGTCAGCTGCAGGGGGGGAAAGAGAAGGGGGGGGGGGAGCAGGGCAGCACAGAGAGAGAGAAAGACACACAAAGTCGGAAATAACAGCTGACATGGGCAGGTAGGATGGAGACATCACAGTCAGTTTAGACTTTAAGTGGTTAATAACGTCCTTCCAATGATTGCTCAGTTTGTACCCATCTTCTCGGTTAAAGTTGTGTCTGTGACTTTACCGAAAGAACCAAAGAGTATGGATTCATGCAGTCACGAAAGCTTCAAATCAAGAATACTATTTGTATTATGCAGAAATGCATAAATTAATGTTCAATCACACCTTAGAGGTGTGAAGCCAGGCTCAAATTTGCTTGAATGCTTGGATGAACAGATCTAACTTCAGCAGCATATATGCTGTGTTCATTTCCTGTTTCCATTCTTACAAAAAGTTCCAGAGGAAAACTAAAATAAGCTGTTTTTATTTAACCTCCATGTTCAATAGTTAATATACTTTACTGCAAATACAAACTTCACACTGTCACACACTGGCGTGGTAAAAAGGTGGTGGTGTGTCCAGAACCATGTCTGGCCACCTTCATCTGTTAAATATTAATGCTTCCTCACTTCACCATGTAATTAATTTAAGATCAATCAAAATAGCAGAGGCCCACAATAAGTTCAGCTTTCACTTATCAATCATGTTTGCTGTCCACGATAATCCAACTAATTGTTGAGTTTATAATGCAGTAAAATAACTGCTCCACAGATCCCCACAAAGATAAACTCTTAAATACACATACATTTCACATGGCTCATTAACATCTTACCTATACAAGTAATTTTTTGTTTGTCTGTCTGTCTGTGGACAAAACTTGCGACGGATTTGACTCACGAACCGTGGGGTTGACGTAAAAAAAAGTACGTGGGTACCACGCAATAAGCCCCGTGGTGAGCCAGTGCTATTCGTATTTTGCGTCCATCAACTTTAAAGTAGTTAAAAAAATATTTTTAATAAGAATAGGGTTTCCCCTTTTTTCTGGCAACAAAATAGGTGTTAAGATGTTAAAACACCAAACTGAAACCTTTTGCAAGGAATGTCTGCATTAACCACATCATGCTCTGAGAGAAGATGCAATGTCTTTGAAACTGATTGGTCCACACCAGAGACAGCTTTCTTTCAAGCCTCGTCTCAAACAGTGTGTGACCAGAGGATGCCAAAAGGCAAAGGAGGTCACATGATATAACAATTTAGTACTATTAATTAGAAAATTACTACGCTGAGCGCGCGCCAAATCACGCATCTGCCATGCGCGAGACAGCTGACCTGTAGTTGCCCCTAGCAACGCACACACTATCACACACACTCCCTTTAAGAGTGTGCTCCTAATCTCAGTTCGTTACCTGTATAAAAGACACCTGGGAGCCAGAAATCTTTATGATTGAGAGGGGGTCAAATACTCATTAAAATGCAAATCAATTTATAACATTTTTGACATGCGTTTTTCTGGATTTTGTTGTTATTATTCTGTCTCTCACTGTTCAAATAAATCTACCATTAAAATTATAGACTGATCATTTCTTTGTCAGTGAGCAAACGTACAAAATCAGCAGGGGATCAAATACTTTTTTCCCTCACTGTACATAACATGGTTGAGCAATAGGGAACCATCCCTTGACCGCACCCGGGCATCGATCAGTCTCCCATTGTATCTGTACCAGAAGGAAATTCATCCGGTACAGCCATTGAAGGCCTCACTAACTACGTGGTCAAAATAGATGTTAAATAATATGGGAGCCAGAGGACATCCCTGTCACACCCCAAGTTGTAGAGGGAATGACTGACGGCCACGTAGTTTGACGCGGGGCCGCTCACCATCATGAAGGTCTTTAAGGATCCTGAGCAAAGTTTGAGGGACTCCGAAAGCATGAAGAACAACTCAGAGGCCAGGCCTACTGATGGTATCATAGGCCTTGAGCAGGTCAATAAAGCACATACATTCACTGACACGCACACATGGACCTACAAACACGCAAAGAAATGGACTTACACTGACTGACATGGAGCCATGCACACAAAGCGACTAACACAGACGCCCATGGACTGACACACACAGACATATCGACTCACACACACAAACACATGGACTTACACACACACATGGACTCACACATGCATAGATATGCACTTTAGATACACACATGGAGCTACACACACATATATCGATGTACAGACATACAGCGTCTCACACACATCGACTCACACACAGACAAACGTGGACTCACACACACATTGACGTAAACACACATGTACTTACACACACACATATCGACTAAGACACAGACAAATGGACTTACACACACATACATAGAATGACACACACATTGCCCTACACACACATAGACATATGGACTGTGACACACAGACATCTACTTGAGATACACACACACACATGGATTAACACACACACATCGACTGACACACATAGACACACAAATGCACATTCACTTACACTCAGATGGAGCCATGCACACACATCGACTCACACACACATTCACTTAGATACACACACATCGAGTGAAATACACACGTATGGACTTACACACACATGTGGACTAACACACACAGCGACTGATACGCACACAAATGGACTGACACACAAACACTTGTACGTACACACACACATGGGGCGTTGTCCGTTTGAAAAAGACAGACACACACATGGACTTACACACAGACATGGACCCACACACATAGAAACCCATCGACTTACACGCACACATATGGACTCACAACCACACAGACCTCGACTTTAGGGACACACATGATGTTTCAGCACACGAACATTATCATTGTAATATTAGGCAACTTATTAGTTTAATAATAGTAAACAATGAAGCAGAGTTGTTATGTGCACACAAACATTATCATTGTAATATTTGTAAAGTTAATTGTTTAATAATAGTAAACAATAAACCTCAGTTCTTAGTGAAAGATGCAATAAAATTGTACTTTACATTGGTGTGGTGACGCCTCGTCCCATGCAGAGCCCGCGGCCTCGCCAAGCCGGAGGAGGCGAGATATTGCCAGGCTGCGGGCTGGGCCGCTACTCCCCCACCATCCCCCCGCCAGAGGCAGAATAATACTATGTAAGCGCTTTAATAATATTAAATTAATATCTAAGCACTTTGTAGCAGTAACTGCACGCATTGGGGTGGGGGGGGAACAGAACATGACACTGTGAAGAGAAATCGGAAGCGTGATGTGTATATTTAATGCATGTTAAACGCGTAAAATAAAATGTCCCCCGTGAGCTGGAGCGAATGCGCATCACTTGGCAGGGTCCGCCCCCCCCACACGCAATTGGCGTCAGTTGGTACGGTCGATGTCGCACAATAAGTAAATAATAAATAATAGAAACGGCACAAATGTGTTAATTAAACCACTTTAAAGTTTACAGACGGGAAAAGGGAATAGCTTATTCCCACCACGGGGCTTAGGGCGTGTCGCCCGGCAATTTTTTTTACACGTATAGCCCACTCTCTGAGAGACAAATCCCCCGCAAGTGCGAGCGTGCGGAGACTTTCATATATAAGAAAAAAAAAAGAAAAAGAAGAAGATAGGTCTTAAATAAAAAATTCAGAGATCTAGTTTCTGTTGAAAATCCATACACCTCTGCTGTAGTTAATAGACAGAACATACAGCAGCCCCTTGCATATCACGGAGGTTACGTTCTTGGAAATTGCCGCGCGAAAGCAAAAAGTGCGATATTCAATACTTAAGCCTGACCTAAGTAATGGCGTTAGGTAAACAGCAACTAAAATTTACATCACAATTGAAATAAGTACTCTACTGTATTCCAAATAAACTAAACAATTTAAATAAACAAGGAGAAACCGTACAATATTTAAAGACAAAAAAATAGTATATATCTATGAAGATAAAGCAGACTTTGCGCTTGTGTAGATTTTTTGTGAACCAAATTGCACCAACACACCCCAAACTTTCCATGCGTACTCATGGGTGAGTTAGTGTGTTTTTCGCACTATTTTTAGCTGACCTGCTCACCTTTAACACCTGAACCACCTGCACACCCACCTGCTCCTCACCTCACCCCTCTCTTTCTCTTGCCATGTGTTAAAGCCCTGGGCACTCACTACTTCCGGTTTGCCACACATGCAAACACATGACATTTCATATACTGTACTACAATTCCACGCACTCACCATAACATAAGTGTCTCCACTGCACTGCTATATTTGCTCTCATATTTACCACGTTATCCTTCCCTATTATCAGCCCTGTGTTTTTTCCGCCAAATTCATCCACTTCCGGCTCCTTACTGTCCTCTCTGCACGGGCACGGCTCACCTCTAACACACAGTGCAATATTTATTTTAAAAACACGTACTATTCTAAAATATTTACATCAACGTACCAACACTTATACACAACAAAGATGCTATACAACAGCTACGACTAAATACATCAAGTCTACATCAATAAAAAGCATGCAAATATACGCACTTGCGTTAAAATAATATATGTACACACACCACCACACACATACTATTAATACCCACATCAAGCCCTACGAACAATTACTTTGTTCCTTTGCGGCTGTCTTCACATTCCTACAACGATTACACATTCAACTATCATTTCCTTAACAATCTCTAAATAGCATGCACTCACACACTTACTATTTACTCTTTTTTATGCTTATTAACTTTGACCTCCACCTATAATGTTCCTCACGGAAAACGTGCGCTTCTCTTCACCAAAGCCGATTACAATAATTGATGCCATTCGCACAAGTGCTGCAATGGCTGCACCTAGAGCTAATGAAACCCCTTAACACAAAGTGAGACAGCATTCTGTCTGTGCTGCACCTACAGCTAATGAATCTCCTGAACACTAAGAAGCAAGAGCATGTTACCAGGGCTGCGATGGTTGCACCTATTGATAATGACACTCCTGAACACCAAGAAGCAAGACGGCATGCTGCCAGTGCTGCTATGCCTGCACCAACAGCGAATACAACTCAACAGTATTGAGCTACACAGAATACCAACAAAGCACAAATGGCTACTGCCACAGCTAATCCAACTCCAGTCCACCAACAAGCAAGGCATCTTGTAAACAGCACGACAATGACTGCAACCAGGTGCCTACCCTGCTGCCAAACGGAAAAGTATTTTCCACACATTCCTAATTTCATTTACACTTCTGATTCAGTAGTTGCCATTGGTTCCATGTCTACTTCTTGCAGCTACTGCCATGCAATGACATGGAAAGGAGACCCTCCAGGGCTGCTATAACTGTACCATGGTTCAGCTTCCTACAATTAATGACCATCCCGAGCCTATTCCATTGTACTGATACCTGCCAACACTACCTATGCAAGCCAATTCCGAAACAACAATAGACGATAGAACTCATGCTTCCAAATTACATGTTTTGGCACCAACCAACTCATCCCAACATCTGGCTACATTTCGATTTAAAAAGCTTTCGTGACTGCAGGGATTCATCTTCTTGGTTCTTTCGGTAAAGTCACGTAGAAGGGAAGTAATAAAATAATAAAAATAAAAGACAATAAAATAATTCTCACGACGTTTCGGCCACAACACAAGCAGCCGTCCTCAGGTGAAGACCAGGTCTGTCGAGGCGACAGCGTCTTCACCTGAGGACGGCTGCTTGTGTTGTGGCCGAAACGTCGTGATAATAATTTTATTATGTTTTATTTTTAATCTGGCTACATGCCCACATTTAAAGTGCAGGGCCAGGTACATAATCGCATTCGCAGTCTGCTGCCACTACTTAATGCTAAAATGTCATCAACACCAATATGCAAGTCCGATTGCTGTGGCAAGACAGGCTCTAAAAGTTTCAAGTTTGCCATGAAGAAGATGACTTCAGAGTACAATGTTGTCATTCATGCCGACTAAACTCCACATGGTCAACATGAGTGCTACGTAAATGCACTCACATCTGAAGTTGCTGTCATTCTGACTGATGAACGTCACTCGAGGCATCGTCTTGCAACTGAGGAACAATACCCTACACAGAAAAGAAACACCGATCCTATGATGCTCTTGAAGGTCTACTGATTTTCTGGCAAGATGATGATGTCTACAATTTCCGACTTCGCCAAACTGACCCAGCAACAGGCTTGCCAACACAAAAGAAGATTTTCGCCACGGACTTCTTTGCCTTCAGGATCATGGTGCAAAATGGCAGCTTCAATCTCTTCTTGAGATCCAAAGAGCTCTTCCACCAATATGCTGTCGACATGTATGCCAAAATTGAAGCTTCATTCTATTAAACCCACCAGATGGCAAAACATCCAACATTGAATATCCTGACGCTCTCCAAGGGCAACGAATTTAAAAGCTATCCTCATTATGAAACAAATAAGCCCTGTGATTGTATAACACAACCAAAAACCGTGACAAGATACACACATTTACAGACTTCATTTGCAGGATTCAATAATTCCAATTACTCTTAACGTTTGATTACTCAGAAATATGCAATGCCAGGTAACTTAACTAGTATTGAATACAATAATTTCGATGTTTGTGCATGAGTGGGGAGCGGTAGTGCAACGGTTAGCATGCTGAGCTATAATCTCCAACACACAACCGGTGTGCTGTACTAGTGACGAATTGACCACGTTGTTTACGTGACGAACCCTTCCTAATTGGCTGTCGGGTTTACCGACACATTAAGAGTCAACATCACCACGCGTTTAGAGTATTTGACAGACATTTCCACACGTTGATAAGCCACTTTGCTGTGGGCAGGTCGCTTCTGAAAACAAGAGCGGTATAGCAGCTGAAGTGGGCTTGGCCTGGTAATATAAAAAAAAACTGTAAAAATTATTAAAAGAAAAAAAGTTTCCAAGTCGTGAGCCAGATGAAGACAAATTTAACTTAAGCAGAGAACTAAAGCAAATGCAATCAGGCGAGAGCAGGAGGCAAGGCCCCGCGTTGTAATGTTACAACCTGGACATCGATTCCATACTCGCTGCTACTCAATTGATATCCCTACGAGAGGAGCGAGGCTCTACCTGAGTAAACAACAACAACCACCACCACAACAACAACCACGATGTGAACTTCTCACCTCGGATCTCAGTGAGCGCGCGCAGAGTGGCAGCTTACTGGTGTCTCGTGACGTCACGCGACAACAGGAGGTGACATGACGTCACTAGCAAGACATCTCCCCCTCACGCCGATGACGCAATGCATTGGTGACGTCAGAGAGCGGGTTTAGAGTTTAAGTTTATATAAATCTTGACTTAAAGCTGTCGTGACTGCAGGAATACATTCTATGGGTCTTTCGGTAAATCCACGGCCTCAGGGCGCCCTCCGATCTTACATTTACGGTACATGAAAATACCGTCTCTAGCCCCGCCCACTTACCTTTGGAGGCCGTCCATAAATGACGTCATGCGATTTTGGACGATTTTTGACCCCCCCC